CAAGTTACAGAAAATTATTAATTATTTTTAGGGGGAAAATTCACTCAGTTCTAATTTTTAGAAATGGTCATTATGAGTCAGACCAATTGCTACTTATCCAAGCTATGAATGGGTGTGCAGGTACAAATAACTCAATAATTAACAGTAGTTTAATGTTGGAATACAAACAATGTTGGTATTTAAAAATTATATAACCTGATGTTCAGCAAAATACAAGAAGTTGTTGAAATAGCCAGAGAATTGTGAAATTTATGAATGGGAGTTTTACCATTAAGGACTTCAGAGGGTAAAAGCATAAATATACTGGTTCTTTTGGTATTTTTTTTCCTTAATTAAACATATTTTTTTAAATAGTTGCCTCTTATCTCAAGATAGATTATCTTATGCAATGAGCATTTTTGACACCCTTAGAGATTAAATGAACTATTGAAAGATAAGGAATGAGTTTTCTTGGAAGAGTAAGAGAAGAGAAGATTGTTAAAAGATATGTTGGTAAACATGGGCGGATTAGATAAGGGCTAAGCTTTAATGTGAAACAGAAACTCTGAACACTGGCCTTTGCTTTGGTCTTACTGAAGACACGGTTGGGCTTTTTCCATAGTGGGATGGACTGAGATGGAACATTGGGGACCCAGGAGGGGAATTTCTTTGATTTTGCATCACGAATAAACCTTGCTACACCACAGTCTCCCATACATGCATCCCTGAGATGCTTTTTCTGTAATCCCATGAAAGAGCCTAATTTTGACCGACAGTAACACCATTATGCACTGTTGATGAGACTATAAAATGGTACAGCTATTATGAAAAACAGTGTGAAGGTTTCTCAAAAAAATAAAAATAGAATTATCACATGATCTAGCAATTCCACTTTTGGAGATATATATATATATATATATATATATATATATATATATATATATATATATTCTGTAGAGTATATCCAAAATAATTGAAACTAGAGTCTTAAAGGGATGTCTGTATACCAATATTCATAGCAACGTTATTCACGGTAGCCCAAAGGTGGAAACAACCAAAATGCCCATTGACAGATGAATGGATAAACGAAACAGGACATATATGTACAATGGTATATATTATTCAGCCCTGAAAAGCAAGGAAATTCTGACATGTGTCACAGCATAGATAATCCTTGAGAGCATTATGCTAAGTGAAATAAGCCAATCACAAAAAGACAAATAGTATGATTCTACTTAGAAAATAAAAAGTTCTCATTCTAGTTTCCTATAAACAGATTTATTAAAAACTATATATTATAATCAGATTACTTTTATTCATTCACAGATGTCCTTTCATTGTGACTTGAAAATTATAATTGTAATTATAATGCATAGAAAAATATTATATAATATTGTAGAAATGAATCTAAAAATTGTTCATACAAAAGAAATGCAAAATATTTTTAATAAAAGCCATCTCCACTATCCCCAGTAACTCCCTTGCATGAGAGTCTAATTTGCAAATTAGACTGATGATACCTGTCTTCACTGTACATTTTGGGTAATTAGATGTTACAACTGAACTAAGAGAGAATGGACCCCTCAAAAGGGCAGTCAGTTAGGTCATTATTCTGAGTCAAAACAACCAAATTATTATTACCAGGAAGTTCAAACTAGAGGAATTGGTCTGAACATTTAGTGTGCTCAATTTGGGGTCAAACCCTTTGTGTTGAGCAAATTCACACCATACAATCGTATTAGCACATTAAAATAGGCTTTGGTAAAAGGAAAATACACATAATCAAAAAGTTTACATAGAGGGAAAGGAACATGTGGAGGTAGTCCCCACTGAGTTCCAGAGACTTTCCCAAGAAAATAAAAAGTGTGGAAGTCTAAATTCAAAGTTGGGACAACCACTCCCAGGTGACCTAGAGCCCTTTGATTCTCACTGTAGGACACCTGGAAAGCGACTATCATCTAGAGCAGCAGTTCTCAACCTGTGGGTCGCCAACCTGTGGGTCGTGATCCCTTTGGGGGTCAAATGACCCTTTCACAGGGATCGCCTAAGACCATCGGAAAACACAGATATAATTACATATTGTTTTTGTGATTAATCACTATGCTTTAATTATGTTCAATTTGTAACAATGAAAATACATCCTGCATATCAGATATTTACGTTATGATTCATAACAGTAGCAAAATTACAGTTATGAAGTAGCAACGAAAATAATTTTATGGTTGGGTGTCACCACAACATGAGGAACTGTATTAAAGGGTCGCAGCATTAGGAAGGTTGAGAACCACTGCTCTAGAGCCACTTCCTCTTTCTTTCCCCCATTTCCCCCCATGGAAGGTCCATTAGTCATTAAGGGTCAGGAAGAAAGAAGCAATGTTCCTGTACCACCGAGATGATACTCATAGAAAAACAATGAGGCCCTGGCCAGGAAGCTCAGTTAGTTAGAGTGTCATTCCAATGCCCAAAGGTTGCAGGTTTGAGCCCCAGTCAGGGCACATACAAGAATCAACCAATGAATGAATATAGAAGTGGAACAACAAAATCAATCTCTCTGTCTCTCTCTCTCTGTCTCTCTCTCTCCCCCTCCCCCCCAAATCAATAAATAAATTTAAATAAAAGAACATGAGGCTTACAGAAAGAACTACTTTAATGCACTCAACAAATGTTCATGATCTATTACCAATCCCCAATGACTGTTGGGACACTGTTTTCAGGAGACAGTACAGTCTGTGATCCAAACAACTGACAGACAAATAAAGCTATAGAATGACACTTGTACCACTAACCCTGTACATTGGTGATACAGAAGGATTTCAGTGCCTAAATAAATTACAGTAATGAGATTATAAAGGTTTCTTAAACAATTATGACTGTGGGAAGTCCTGGCAGAACTCAGTGCATACAAGACTGGCACACATAGAGCTCTTGAACACTTACCACTCAGTCACTGGCTTTGATTGACCAACTGGATGGTGAGTCTCTGTTTTATTTCCCTAACAAGATAGTCAAGGTGCAGTGTTATTCACAGGTGGCGCTGGGTTGCATAGCCCTTTGGAATCTTTCTTTGCAGCTTACACAGAGGGGAAAGCAGGGAGAAGGAACCAAAGGAGCAGGAGTAGGCCCTCTGCTCAGCACACGTTTCAAAGCAGAGAGAGAGAAGGTGGAGCCTACCTGTTGGTTGAAATATGGCAATATTACTATAAAGCTATATGTGTTTGTTTGTTGATGGTCAAAACCTTTTTTTAAAAAAAAAAATAAATAGAAGCTGATGGTTACCAAAATTTCACCAAAAAAAATAGAAAAATCATTATTTTTCATTTCTCAGGCTCAATATTCTCAAAGGCACTTCTAATGCTAGAAATGCTACTTTTCTTCTTAAGTGCAAGTGACTTACTGGGGTCTCCACTTAGTGACTTAAGAAATGTTTGTTGAATGAGCACTGTCAGGTATTTAACCAAAGCTTGATGCTCCACCACACTCTAAGAGGGAATGAAAAACACCAATATTCTCTATATTTTGTAGGTGAGGAAATTCAGGCTCAGAGAGTCTGCATGACTACTCATACATTTCACTGTCACAGACCTCCCCCCCCACCCCCCCCACCCCCGTCTCCCAACCACCCAGGTCTGTTCTGACTCCAAATCCTGTCACCTTTGCTTTTTGTAATCTAATCTCCATATCTTTGTTCATTACAGGAAAGATGAAATAGAGAGAAACATATTTTGGGCTAAAACACTCTTGTAAAAGGTTCCACTAGTGTTCTTTTATAGTAAAAATGAAAAAGCTAAATTTTTTTTTTTCACTTGACCCATTTGTAAAACATAGTTTATAGGGCAGTCAAAAAAAAAATGGAAATGGGTTTTAAAAAAAACTACTACATTAATACTAAAAGGAAGCAATAAAAATAAAAATAAACCCTTAGGTACAGAGAAACTCCAATGCAGAGTACTTCTGACATCTGTTAAACTGGGTAGTAGGGAAGGGATCATACATCCCTACATGAATCCCTGTTGCTACAAATCATAGGGAGACTTAGTAATAATATGCTTTTGATTGCAGACATGCAGAGAAAGTTTGCAAGTGAAAACTAAAGAAGATACTACACTAAGATTCTGTTTCAGGGAACATTAGACTAGACTTTTCAGGAACTCCAATGAAGCCCTCCTAATATCTTAGAAATGGAAAGGTGAATGCAGAGGTTGTCAGCTATATGAGTTCATATCCCACAAAAAGCCACCAAATGCACTTACTTGGCACAAAAAGAACTGAGAGATTGATGCATTTTATCACAGCCAGTGGGAAATGTTTTATTCTATAAATAAGTTATCAGAGACAATTTTGTTTTTAATCAGCCAAAAAAAAAAAAACAAAAACCAACCTTTCCAAATTTTTGTTTTCTAATCTTAAATAGCTAAGTTAAAAAATCACTGTCGTTGATAGCATCTGCTCTTGCCTCTCTATATCTAATATTCACAGAAAGTCAGCACTTTTTCACTTCCAATCAGAAGCCAGATGCCGGTCTTGCTTACCTTGAGGGGAGAGGGGACAAAGCTGTTAGGGTCTTGTTAATTCAAGAGCTATATTTCCTTTTTGTTGTTTTACATGCATTATTTTCAACACAGAGAATACTAGGCAACGAGCCCATAAGCTGCAAATGTTCATTTGACTTTACGAAGCAGGAGGGGTTGGGGGTGCCATGCCCTTCTGGGCAGGTGCAGGCCAGGAGTGAGCTGGTGGGCCGCTGACCAGCAGAAACTGCATAGGAGAGCTGTGGTGTGTCCCTGTCCGCTACCGTGTCCAAACCGAGGGCAGGGTGTGCAGTTTATGAAGCACTTTGCAAAGTGTAAAGTATGAAACCTTCTCAGCATACAATCTTAGCATTCCCCCTCTGGATGAGGAGAGGAGAAAAATGGACGCAAGCTTTGATTCCTCATTCACATGCCCTCCATGCACAGACACCTGTAATGCGGCTGCAACTGACGTTCTGTGTCCTCTCTGTGCATTCTCCGCTTCCTCCCTAGAACACTTGAAGGAGAAGTTAGAGGAGTACATGGCCCGGTTTTCCAAAGTGAGGATCGTTCGCACCAAGAAAAGGGAAGGGCTCATCCGGACCCGCCTCCTGGGGGCGTCCATGGCCAGAGGAGAAGTCCTGACCTTCCTGGACTCCCACTGCGAGGTCAACGTGAACTGGCTGCCCCCGCTCCTCAGTGAGTACACAGCTGATGGGGCCTCCTGGCATCTGTCAGAAGGAGTGCAGGGTTTGCTTCCACCTAGTTTGCAACCTACAAAGGCTAAAGACCCCCCTCCTGCAATTTTTACAGTGGGAGCCTTGAATTCTACCTTAACCCCTGCTGAGGACAAATGGGTAACTAGAAAACTGCATTAAAATTGCCATTTTGGAGAATGTAATCTATCGTATGGTTTGAAAGGGTTTCACTTATCTTAGACGTGCTCTTTGATTGTAGTTGTGTTCACTGGGTAAATGCTAAAAGAAAAAAGTATTCAAAAATGCTATCTATGACAACAGTACGATTAAAATTCACACACATACCTCGCCTACACATGCACAGTTTAACAATTATTACAGGATTATTAGGAGATGAGGAAAGAAAATTACTCAGTCCCTGAATACAGTTGAATTGTAAGCTCCCTGGCATTGTCTAGGGTTTATAATGCCAGTTCTTTTTACTTTGGCACTAACCTAGATCCCTAAATAGAGAATCCATGTTTAAGCAGAACCCCCTCAAACACTCAGGGTTGGGATCCAAATGACACATCTTACTGCTCCTAATATGATTACGAGAAGGGAAAAGACTCTCTGTGACATTGCACTCAAAAGGTTAGAAACTGGAAGCCATTCAAGTTCAAGGTAGAAAACCAATGTGTGGCTCAGTGTGAGCTTGACTATTTTTTTTAATGTCACCATGAAGTCAGATATAAAATCTAGTAGTGGATAAGGGACAAATTGTAAGCTTGAAAAAAAAAGTGTGTTTCTAAAAGTTCCTGCTGGGCGCATATTGTACTCCTTCCTATTGTTCAAGATTTCACTAATTCAGTTTTTACTGTGAATAATCTCTGGCTTTGGAGCTAAAGCCAGTAACAACTGCCTTCACAATAGCTGCCTCCGAGGGAATGATTTGCTATTGGCTCCTGTGAAGGATTTCAGCTAGAACCAGCCAAGAGCCATTAGTAAAAGACAAGGCGGGGGCGGGGGGGGGGGCGGGATCGATCGATCTATATAGGATTAAGAGCAGAAAAGGTCCATCAACTAACAAACACCCAACCACATTGCCCAATCCACACACTCCTGCACAGATGACTGCCCAGCCATCCTAATCAACAGGATGTTTCAGTGCTCCTGCAGCCACAGACTCCTCTGAGCTTTTAATTAAAAATACTTTGTCCAAGGACATAGCAATTTAGAGTTTCATCAGCAACAGTGAGATTCCCTCAAACGGAATTTGATCTATATGGTGTGGAATACCCAGGGAAGTCAGCAAAAGGCCTAATTTATTTATGAACCACAGCACTCCCTAAATGCCAATTATCAAGCCTCTGAATGTTCATATGAATCTAACAAGAAAGAAAATAGATGGAAAAAAGAGAGAGGAAAAAAAGAGAAACCCACTTTTTCTCATTAAAGCATTTCATTTCCTGTGGGCCTGATGGATAAGAAATGATTCAAGCTCAGGATCACTATCTTTTTTTATTTTCCTTTATCAGTGTCTTGACACATCATCCAAAATGAAAAAACAGGCGGAGTCACACAGATTCTTGGCTCATTTTTCACCTTGGGATTATACCTGAATTTCAATTTCCCATTAAGAGTCTGTTTTGTTTGATCCCTGGAAATTGAAATGTAGGCATAAGTCTTAGATGAAAAATTAGTCATGCTGCTTTCACTCTAAGTGAGTATGGCTGGATGAGAGCTGAAAGGAAATTTGAAGGGAGAGTTGACAGTTAATTTAACAGAGTCATTCTCTTTGGGTCACCTTGGGACTCCTTGTTGGTCAAGGAACTTGTAAATCAGCCAGGTTCTGAATTTGATTGAAGAAAGCCACTGAAACCTTCATATAGAAATACCTGCAGGAGCGATAGGAGAAATATGTTGGACACAGCAATGACAGTCTCCTCTGTCAAAGACATCTATGGGGAAACACCACTTAGATAAAGATTAAAATCCATTATGAGGCTTGCCCTGGTGAAAATGGGTGCATATAGAGCCCTTAGTGGAGATTAACTTGATATTAGTGCTGGGGATCTCTCTGTCTTCTAATTAGATAAAAATAAAAATAAGAACTCCAGGCTCACTGAGACCAACATTCCACATCCCCCTTACCCTGTTTTTTTTTTCTTTCCATCACATTTATCACCTTCTAACATACAATATAAGTTAGTTATTTATTATGTGTATTGATCTCTTTATTCCATTCCTGAAGACATGGGTTTTTGAGATTGTTATTCACTGCTATATTCCAAAATCCTAAAAGAGTGACTGGGACAAAATTTCTATTCAGTCAGTAGTTGTTGAACTTGAGTGAATAAACAAACAAATGAATGAATGAAAACGCATGTAGATCTGGATGGGAGATCTTTCAATGGATTCTGTGGTTTCCACACCCTGGCTTATAGGTGTCATCACAAAAATGTTACTGAAATAACCAACCCTCATTATATCTAAACAATATGATTTTTAAAGCATATTTAAATATATTTTATTCCACATGCCACATTGGGTATTCCGAATAATCATTGAACAGATGGTCACACTTTAAAGTTCTGCCTATCAGACAGTATTAGCTTGGTATAATAAATCTTGACTAAATGCACATTCTTTGGAAAGAAATACTTCACATGTAGCTATTCTAGGAGAGAAAAGCATGCAAATGCCAACTATCTGGATCAACTATTAATATCTCACAATAATAATATCTCCATGGAAAAGAAAGGCGCTAGAAATGAAAACGATAGCACCTTTCTGCTACATGAGAATCACGGTGGCCAACAGGAAAGACCACAGATTTTAGTGTTGGACCACTAGGCAGAAGTTGCATCCCGGTTCTTGTTCTCAAGAGACCAGTGACCTCTGACAAGTTATTTAACTTCTCTGAGCTCAGTTTCCTCATATGTAAATTGGGAATGATAGTAATAGCCACCTTACAGTGTTGCCAGGAGGATTAGAAATAGCATGAGCTCAAATCCCTAAGTAGTTGCTCAAGAATATAATAGAATGTAGCGGGAAGCATAGCAGTAGTATCAGGCCATCTAATATATTTTGAGGTATGATGAGAGAAAATAAAAATGGATAGCTTTAATAAACAGAGTCTATATCAAAAAACAGTAGCAAGATAGGACTTGGCAAAATCTCTGTAAGCCTGAGAGCAAAGAATTCTGCTATCAACGTTTAGGGGCAACAGCCCTTATAACAGCGGTTCTCAACCTGTGGGTCGCGACCCTTTGGGGGTCCAATGACCCTTTCACAGGGGTCGCCTAAGACCATCAGAAAACACATATATAATTACATAATGTTTTTGTGATTAATCACTATGCTTTAATTATGTTCAATTTGTAACAATGAAATTGGGGGGTCACCACAACATGAGGAACTGTATTAAAGGGTCGCGGCATTAAGAAGGTTGAGAACCACTGCGTGAGATTAGATACTAAAAAAGCCATGATGTTAATTATTTACATTTTGCAACCTCCGGATAGCAGGCCAGTATTTTCTCAGCAGGCTCTAGCTGTATGCTTGAAGGAACACCAGTGCTGTTTATACTCCACACACGTTAGATGCTCTATGGAATGACAGATTGGGGACAGGTCCGAGCAAAAATGCGACAGAGGTAAAGCTAAATGGACTTCTGCAAGTCTCTCTGGGACATAACTTTCTGAAAAGAAAATACAGCCAACTAATTGTGCCTAATCACTGTCCCATCACGTTAGGTCCAGCATTCATGCAGAGATTCCGCAAAGTGCTCTAAGGACAACAGGGAACCGGGCTGCCAGCATTATGCATTAGGAGGGATCTGTAGGCTGCTCTTTGCTGAAAACATGATAGATGACCTAGGCAGGCATGTCATTTCCTATTTTGTGCTTTCATTTTTCAGACCAAATTGCACTAAACCACAAAACCATCGTGTGCCCCATGATCGATGTCATTGACCACAATCACTTTGGGTATGAGGCACAAGCTGGGGATGCCATGCGAGGCGCCTTCGACTGGGAAATGTACTACAAAAGAATCCCCATCCCTCCAGAGCTCCAGAGGGCAGATCCCAGCGACCCTTTTGAGTGAGTAGCAGCTGAGGGAGGGGCCCAGGGAGAGAGGGCAGGTAATTCATTCCAGGGTGTCAATGGAGGACCCGTGAGAAAAATGACCTCTAAAAAAATGGGATAACACAGATGGAAACAATATGAAAAACACTGGAGAAAGGTCAGACCTACATGCTGTAGAAGAATCAGCATGCTGCGCTAAGTGCACGGATCACTCCTTCCCAACCTTGGCTAAGAGTTCGAGGAGGTGTGCAGATGTGAGAATCAAGGAAATGCAGGGTTCACAGAAAATGCATGGAGAGGGAATGCATATTCTCCTTTTACATACTCTCGTAGATGTTTTCTTATGTTCAGGTTTCTCTATTCTTTTCACTTTATTATTTAAATTAACTATTTTGCTCTTCTTTTGGAGATAAATTATATGAAATACGAACTAGTATTCAAGCCTGCGTTACACCCTGTTGGGAACTACCCCTTTATGAGGAAGCAGTGCTCCTGAATAGGTGTTCTCATAACTTATCTCAGGATAATCAATCAAAATGATGTATCCAGATAGATAAACTTTGATAACCCTGCCACTAATTTAGATTCTATATAGATAAGAATTTATAATAATCTGATGATTTCTATAAAGCTAAATCCTTGTGTGTTTTTAATGTGGATATGAGAATTATCATGTCAAGAAAAAAGAAAAAAAAAAACAGAGCTTAGTTAGACAAACTATTAGAACCATAAATGCTAAATGATGAACTTTTTCCAAAGTTAGTCCAGGGATTGCCCAAGGCATATGATTATCTATTCCTTATTACTATACCCTTTTGCTCTCATTAAAATCTTTATAATTTAAAAACTATTACATATTTTTCTTTAGCGTAAGAAAAAAGTGATCAAGGCTTTGAGCACTCTGTCAGAATCTGCTTCAGATGCAATAAAATCACTATTGTCTTTTCATTAACAATCTGGGCTATGAAAGTTTGCAGTAGAGATGCTCCCGGCATCACTAACACTAACACTTTAAATTACAATAAACATCGGGAAAACGTTTTCTCCAATTCCAGTCTCTAGAAAGACAAACTGTTGGGAAAGCAGAAGGGATTTCAGAAGACATTTGCCGGATAAAAAGAGATAGAAACCATTTAAAAAAAATAATAATATGAAGAATACTCATTAAGTATTAAGTATTCAAAATTTCTGAACTTAGGCCTCTTCAGACTCTCAAAGTGCTAGAGAGGTTTTTAGAAGAAATAAGAAGACCCTTTATCACTCTTCCAAATGCTTTGGCCAAGATTTCAAGGATATTCAAAACTGCTAGAGACGTTCTTCAGCGACCTAAGTGGAGGGGTTCCTATTAAGCATTTGAAATGGGCCTGGCAGAGAGATACCCTTCAGACTTCCTGGCAGACGGGCTGATGGGGGAATTTAAAGCCAGGTTGTGGGTTGGGAGATGATACAAAAAAATTCTTAAATACTGTGGAGTTGTTATTAGATGGCAGCTGACAGCATAGTCACAGTCCAGTTGTTACTTTCCGAGGCTGTCATGTTTCAAGGGCTGGAATTCATCCATGATAGCTTTTCAAATACTGTAATAGGACTGGGCTAGAATGTCCTTCTAAGGGGACTTTATTTCCACTTAGAAAGACTTTACTTCGACTGCAGTAGCAGAGTGGAGCTCCTGCTCTCTGCAGAAATAAATGGGTTCCAAATACTATCAAGGGGATCTGAAATTGTAAAAGTCTTCTCAGCCCCTGCACTGACACTTGAAATGTTTGTCAAGTAGCCATCACAATATCAGGCACCTTGTTTAACCCCAGAGGCTGGCAGACTTGGTCCCTTTCAAGATTAAATTACCTCTTGTTCCTGTCACCTACTTAGGTCCTCATCGTCCTGTCCAAATTGCATTCCTCTTTGAATCCTACTGCCTTTCTGCTTTAAATCCATTTGATGCCTATGAATGTGGACACTTTCTCCTTTTATAATAAATTTAGCTTCCAGGAGGTGTCCACTTTGATGTTAAAAACTGCATTTGCCTTCCCGATTATAAAAGAATGGTTACCCAAAAGGCCAGGAGCAGCGTCTCAGCAATTCCATTATCAGCAGTCACCTGAGTGTGCTCATCAACAGACATGCTTTAGGCTAAAACTTGCTTCCTGGATATAAAGCTTTAAGATCCACAGAAGGAATGCAGTCTATCTGTGTATCACTCTCACAGTATTTAATGTTTCAAGAGGCTGCTTCATGGGTGTAGGTGGGAGGAGGGGGAGAGGAGGCGGAAAGATAGGAAGAAAGGAACTCAAGAGTAATATATAAAAGGGTTGCAAACCCCAGGACTTTTCAACAATATATGTGCAAGCATTACCTTCCTGTAGCAAGTTGGTCAAATGTCCTAAGTGACAAGACTTGAATTGTCTCATTTATTCTGCCATTATTTGAGTTTTTCAGTGACTATCTCTATTGACCACAGTAGTGTTTTTCAACCAGCAATGCTTGTGAAAATAGTGGGGCATGAGCAGTATTTAATTATTGAAAGTTTCAGAATATTATACTCATATGTGTGTATAAGTATTACTTCTCAAATATTTGATTTCATTTATAATGTATATATGCTCCTGGGTCGTGATATAAACTGTATTTTGCAATATAGTTCATTAACAGAGTTTAAAATCTACTAACTTCCTAACTAGGAATCAAGGCCTTCATTATTCTAACGAGGAAGAAAAAGGAAACTTCACAGATAACCTTGGACACGATGGAAAAATTACTTATATTTGCAAAGAGCTCTAGTTTTCAGACAAACTGCTCCTAGAATATGAGAGAAAATGCAGTATTCATAGTTCAAGCTATTATATGGCAGACACAATTCTGATTGGATTGGATACATTTGATAAATGTTCTTGTCTTTAAAAAATATATTCTCCTTTTTTTGGTGGCCTATCTCATGATGTAATGCTTTTAGGAAATGCTTGTTATGGTTATTCGTGGTTTTTAGAAGGTTTCCTTTTTCCTGGTTTATCTCTCGTGCAGGGCACTTAGGAACGTAAGCCCTTTCCATGTGGCAAAACACATTATGCTCCTTTAGTTGTGGTGACAAAGGGAAAGATGTTCATTTGCATTCAACCACTAACTTCAACATTATCTCAGCATCAAAAGTTTAGAAAGGACCAGAAGAAATGACTTTGTCCAACTTCCCTTTAGCACAAGCAACCACTAAACAATGTCTAAGACAGATGACCAACATTTGCTTGAACTCTTCAGGGACATAATATTTTTGCTCCCTCAAAAGACAATCCATTCTATTAGACTAAATGGCAGAAAATTGTTGCCTCCTTGATTGCAGACTGTCTAATTCCTGTTTGATGATAGAGCTGTTAAAATTTAAAAACAGCCTATTCCTCCCAAAAGGGGGAAAAGAGGAACTTTTTCCAGTTCTATCCCCAGAACCCTATGAAAGAGCATGCTCATTGATGTAACTGTTCAATACATGTAAATTCACTTGACTACTGTAGTCTCATCCATGTTTCCCCAACTTGTTCACAAAGACAGTGTGAAATAGTCCATCCAATATATCTGATACTCAGGCCTTAATACATGAGTCTGTCAACCATAAAAATACAGCTAATTTCTAGGGAATTGCACTAGAGATCATGGTTCCTTTGCTAAGTACTCACAATCAGTTCAGCTGTCCACTTAACTTTGCAGTTTCACTGTATTTTTTAGAACCCAACCCTGTCCTGTCTTTGAAATGTAGAAAAATTACTTTTACTCTGTCAAGCTTCCTCGGACAAATATCCACAATTCCTCAAAGACTTCTCAGACTTAGAGTTTTGATCATTGTGGATAGAATTCATACACACAATCATTAGTGAGGACTGGCATTCTCTATTTTCCACTTCTGTGTAACACAAATTTCCAAAATTTTAAAAATAAGGACATCTATGCTTGGGAGGTGGACTTCACAGGCCACACATGTCCAGAAATCCCAGTGTCTACAGACACATCCGTTTGAATTCAATAACTTCTCATTGTGGCCAGTTACCTAGTCCAGAAATATCCTAGGACATAGGTAACAATGTCCATGACCTGTTGTGAGGCACCTGAAGGTTCACACTTCAAAAACCCAAGGTCCCCTGAGGTCTAAGGACCAAATATAGAATCCCTGTGGCCTGATTCTGCAATCCAGGAGTATGAAGCATAGCTCACGCCAGTATGGATAACATTCAACCTCTGTTATAGAGGAGTGTGTCACTGTTTCATGGAAGTGGGATGCCTTCAAAAGATTTACTGACAGTATCTCCCTTTGTTCTTTCAAGGGACAGAGAGCAGAGAGATTCCTGGGAACTTTCTGACTCTCTTTTCTTTGCAGCAGTATGGCCAATACCATGAGAAAGTCAGTGTCTCTTGGATAACAAATACAATATGCTAAATTTAAGGTTAGAATGGAATTGAATCAGAAAAAAAATGTGCAAATAATCATAAGTTTATCAAGCTATAAACTATAGAGACAATTCAAATTTATACTACAGAGCCTAAGTAACTTATCCAGTGTCCTAATTAATATATTTAACAGTTCCTACTAGAATCTGGGGTTACTCTCTCACCTTCTGGTGCTGCATTCTTTCTTCTACACCATGGGGGGGCGGGGCGGGGGTGATTAAGAGTTCTTATATTTCTACTCCTATGAGTCAGGCATGGGGCTAGGAAATGTGCTTATATTGCTGACTCATTTAATCTTTGTCTCAAGTCTATGAAATAAATAATACTGTCTGCATTTTTACAAATGAGGTAACTTAGGCTCAAAAAGGTTAGGCAATTTTCAAAGTTTATATAGGAAATCTGAAGAAAAACCCAGGCCTAAGGATTCCCACTGTTCCATGGGAATTGTCACCTCTCTTTTTACTCAGAGAAGATACATTCTCTAAGCTTAAGGAATAACCATGTTCAAATAGAAAAAAAAAATTAGAGAATACAATAGCTTTTTTCTCAAAGCAGCAACACATACTGGGAAATGAGTATCGCAAAGC